AACATACTTTTCACAATTTTCCTAAAGTAACTAGATTTTGGATTTAAAAGGTTCTAGTACTTTTAATAGCATTATACTTTTATTGTAAATTAGTGTCCTATCAAATCCGTTCGGCTAATGACCCTCCACCATACAAGAGAGCGGTGGGTAAGAATGGATACCCAACAGTATGGCTTCGTGAATGAGGCGTACTAGCGATTTGACTGACTTAGTCTTATACATATAGTAATTATTAAACTTATAATTTTACATACAGTATAAGGTGTATTTTAAGACTTTTCAAGATACTAGGTTTATAATTTAAATTAAGAAAATTAATAAACAATTAATTTAAATTTAAAATAAACCAAATGATTTAATATTTATCCATTAATTTAAAATTAACTACTCATATTAAATCAAATAAGGATTAACTAGTTAAATTAATCAAATATTTTAATCCTAATCCTTACCCTGTAATTTTCGAAAATTAGGGTATAGGATTTATTCCAGTTTTAATTATTTCTTTTTAGAAAAGTAAAATAATAATTACCAAAATTTGGAAACCCTAATATCCTAGCCATTTTCGAAAACTTGGGGAGGAAGGCTACGGTTTCAAAACCCTAGCCCTAAATTTCGAAATCAAAGGGAGGAGACTAGGGTTTCGAAAAACCCTAACCCTAGTCGAAATTCTTGGCTTTTAGGGTTTAATATCCATAAACCCTAATAGATCTAATCCAACAATTTAAGCAATTTAATTCAAAACAAACCAAATGCTCTAATACCACTGATAGGTTTTATGCAAAACAAATAAACAGAAAATCCTTAAGTTTGCATGCAACCTAAATAGGATCTATGTTTTCTCTATTGAACCTATAACTAAGAACATCAAATAAGAAACCATAGAAACCCTAGGTTATTTTCGAAAATTACAAATTAGGGTTTAGGATTACATACCTTAAATGTTATTGTAGTAAATTTCAATGATTCCATCTTGTAGATCTCTTGGAAGCAAACACCACAAGTGTTGTGCCTCTAATGGTTCACACCTAAGCTAGCAAGAAGATGAACTAAGAGAGAGGAGAGGGGAGAGTAACAATTTTCGTCCAAGAATTAGGTAAGAGAGGAGTGCACGAAATATGGGGATAGGGATGGCCTTATATAGTTGAGGAATCTTGGGGCCAAAGCTAGGGTTTAAGGGATAAGCCCTAGATTGATTTACTTGGTGACCAAGCAGCCCAATCTCCTTATTCAATGAGCCTTGGATGGAATATTCTAGACTTGTCCTAGAGGATTTTTGTCCACCTCATCCCATGAGGTTCTATAGCCTTCCTTCTTCAACTTTCAATAAATAACCTAACAGCCCATGTACTTTTAACTAATCCAATTAATCTCAAAATTATTTCCAATTAATTTCTGATTAATTATTAGTTAAATAATACCTTTTTCTAATTAATATATTATTTCCATAATACATTAATAAACTATTTATTTCAATTTATTAATCATAATAAATTAATCTCTCTCTCTCTCTCTCTCTCTCTCTCTAAAAGTCATCCTGACCAATTGTTAGGTTTGAGGGCAACCCAAAAGGACTGTGCTACTATCAATTCAAGTATATACCAATTTTTATTTATGGGCTTAGATACCTAATCTAACAGAAAGATCATGTTTCTGCTGAGTTTTGTGGGACTCACAACGTGACGGAGAGATGTTCACATCGTGAGGTCAGCCCAAAGGTTTGTATGTGACTGAGTTGGCTGAGTTAGAGCGAGTCGAGTTGGAATTGGGTCGAGTGTACTCTCACGGCGTGAACAAGGGCCGGTCACGACGTGAGGTTCAGTGGTGGACAGTGCGGGCTGTTGACATTGACTTTGACTATTGACTTTTGGCATGGGTTGACTTTTGGTCAAATTTCCATATTTTAGAAGGTAGACTTACAGTTTACCTCGTGGGGATTATTAGGAGGTGTTTAGCACCCATTCATTGGTTGGGGGGAATCTGCTAGCTATAGACGGTGTGGCATTGAGTTGAGTTTTTAGCCGGCTTTGTGAGTCAGGTGAGTCTTCTCACTATACTTGCATGTGTGGTAGTATATGTATGCCGACTAGTTGGGTCTTTTTTTGTTGGTTTCTATTATATGTGAAATGAGTTGTTGATAACTCCTGGACTACTGTAAGTCCATGGGACTGCTGATAGTCCCCCGGATTACTGATAACCCGTGAGGTGTGCGATTAATCCATCGGGCTTATTGTTAACCCATCGGGACTATTGATAGTCTCTAGAGTTTGTTGATAACCTTTAGTTGATTATTATGATGTGATGTATATAGTATTTTAGGGAACTCGCTAAGTTTGGTTCTTATGGATTTATGTTTATGGTTTCAGGTATTTCCAGTTCCAAAGGGAAGAGTTCAACATGATCGTATCATATCCACAAGGGTTCTGCATGATTTGAATTGTTTTGTAATCTAATGATTGTATGACATGTTTTTATACTCTGTTTGGGTTTTCAAATTGAATGAATGGTTGTTTTGATTGATTTAAAGAAAAAATTTCACTTATAATTTTTGGAACATTACACAATGGGATGGATTGACTGCATGAGAATCGTTCCAAGCCATCATCCAGATGCATCGTAGTCAATTTCGAAAGGAAGAGTAAAAATTGGGTAAAGCTAGGACTGGTGTAGAAACCATGGCTCGTTTGAGAGTTTCAAAAGCACCTTGAGCCTTCTCTCCCCATATGTAATTATCCTTATTGTTGACGTCATTAAGGGGTCTAATTATTTCATCATAACCATCTATGAATTTCTGGTAGTAATCGGTTAGTCCCAAGAACCCACAAACAACCTTTATTGATTTGAGAACCGGCCAATTAGTAATAGAGTTAATCTTTTGTCAGATCCATGGAAACTCCCCTATCATTGATAACATGGGCCAAATACTTGACTGAATTTCTCCCAAAGCTACTTTTCTTGTGGTTAACTACCAATTTATTGGTTTGCAATGGTGTTAAGACTTCAAGTAGTAGGTTCAAATGGTCCCACGTCTACTATACACCAAAATATTATAAAAACAAGGACCCCTTTTCGTAACATAGGTCGGAAAATGTTGTTCATCAAATCTTGAAATGTCGTTGGAGCATTGATTAAGACAAATGGCATAACCAAAAACTCATAGTGGTTGTTATGTGTGCGAAAGGGGATCTTTGCAATATCGGTCTCACGTACCCGAACCTGATAGAAACTCAACTTTAAGTCAATTTTGGAGAAAAAAAACAGTGTTATCGTGGAGTTCATCCATTATCTCGTCCACAATAAGTATATGGTATTTGTCTAAAAATGTAAGTCGATTTAAAGCCATGTAGTTGATGCAAAGTCGCCAAGTAGAGTCCTTCTTTTTAACAAAAATTATTGGGCTTGAGAAGACACTTTGAATTGGTCTAATAAGACGCTGATTCATCATATCAATGGCATGTCGTTGTATGTCATCCTTGTGTAAGTGGGGGTGGCGATATGGACGAACATATACTGGTCCTTGGCCTTTCAACAAATTAATCGAGTGTTCAATAGATCGGGACGTTGGCAGCCCCCTTGGAGCTTTGAAGAGATGGGAAAGTTGTGTAATAAGGCTATCCAGTTGCGTCTGTTGATCAACAGTTAGCAAGGAGGGGGTAACGATTTTGGAGTTGGGGGTATTGTCCGGTTGTTCCTCAAGGCATGCATGGAGTAAAGAAAGTCTCTAGTCATCGTGAGTTGTTCCTTGAAGCTTGACTAGGGAAGAATTGTCCCAAAATTGAATACATTATGTAAGCTAATTGAAAAGTACGTCATCAAGAGTACCCAACCATGCAATTCCCAAGATGACATCTAAATTCCCAAGGTCATAAACTAAAGCGTCAATGACACGGGAAAAAGTGACAAGTTAAATAGGGACATCCTGACATTGTTTTGTCATCCACTCTTTTGCCATCCCTTAATTTAATACCAACCTTGGGAATGGATCGGATAGCAAGGCCAAGGGCTAAGACAAGCCTTCTATAAATAAAATTGTGGGATGCACCAGTATAAATCTAAATCAGAATAAGAGTAGACAACACATTAATTTCTCCAACGATTTTGATGGTGGTAAGAGCAAGGGTAAGGTCTGACGGGAAACCCCATGATTCAAGGGACAAACGTTCACCCTCAGTGACATCCTCGTCTGGAGTAGGGTCATTAGCAGGAGACACCTTGTCGTCTCCGTCAATTTTGTCATCCTCAGGAGCAACCCTCAAATTTCCCTTAGCACATTTGTGTTGTGGCGTGTACTTCATACCACAACTAAAACAGATACCCTTCTTCTTACGATTTTCCCATTCGAGTTTTGATAGGTGATGGGTATTAGGGGTCCAATTCGAAGCTATGAGTTTATTTGTATAGTGGTTTTGGTTCAGCTCAGTCGTTTGATTGGGTTTTTAGAGTATATCGCCCCAGTGACCTAGTGGATCGTGACTTGCTTCCTAGGTTAAGGGAGAACGAGAGTGGATGAACCAGAGCGACTTTTAGCAGTCGTCTTCTATTTTACAATCTCATGGCAGTTTTGATGTTTTAAGAGAATTGCATTGCTTGGTCGCACGTCAAGGTGTTGAGAGTTTGCATCCAGTTTTTATTTCTTGCTTAGCCCACTTGAGAATCAAACGACTATATGCTCCTCCGATTGATTTGGGATGAAAGTTGAGAGTTCTTCATATTCAGAGATGTATTCTTCCACTTCTTGATATAGAGATGCCAATGCCTCGTGATATTACTATTATTCTTGTCATATTATGATCCTTATCGTGGCTTTGTGCTTCATTCCTTTCATCTATATCCATTTCATATGCAAAACATTCATGTATAGCATACCCACAATATGTGGTATAGACATTTGTTGTTACCCCATTCTCAAGATCATGATCTATGAATCGTCTATAACAGTCATCATCTCCAAATTATTTCACAGATTTAAGAACTCCGGGTAGATGACAAACATTTTTTCGGCCCAAAGTCTCCGGATTTATGATGCAAGTTTCAAGCACGGTCAAAATTTAAAGAAATCATCACAGCTCAAACACTACAAATCTATAAAGATCCATAACAGATCATTTTAAAAAAAAAAAAAAAAACAACCTAATGGTAATAGTTATGTTACAAGATCGATGACAAGCAAATAAATCTATAAAAGTCAACAATTTTCTTCAAATTGCCTAACTGCCTGGACCTGAACAAATAAATCCAAATCACTCTCATTTCAACATATAAATATAAAACGATATTTATTATTAAAATATATATATATATATATATATATATATATATATATATATATAGATGTTGAAAAATAAGTAAACCTGGTGTTTTATTTTTCCACATCCAGTCCTGGCCTCCCTGCATCCCCTGTTAAATCAAAAGATTAATTTAAAAATATAAGAATTTTTGGTGATTTTTTTAAAAAATCTGCAATATTACATTACCTGCTGAAAGCGTTGTGCAGAATCATTCATGGAACCACCACCCACTGGAATTTGTCCATACCCAAAGCCCTGCAACACAAATCAGTTTTATTAAAATTAAAAAAAAAAAAAAAAACAAAACAAAAAACAAAATTATATAAAAATAAATATAATCAATACCTGAATATTTTGATGGCCTGCAACCCCAGCATTTTGATACTGCATCAAAAAGAAATGGATAATAAGATCATCAAATATACTAATCAGAAGATAAACTAAAATATAAATTGCATTTTTGGTCCCTGGGTATAACCGAACATTACAATTTTGGTCCTTATTTAAGGTTCTTGTAACATTTTTGGTCATGGTTTTTGCAAATTTCATCCTGAATTTATAGTCATTTTCTTGGTATAGGGACCAAACTTGTTACAAAAAACTTCAAATAAGGACCAAAATTGCAAGACAAAAAAACCTTTGGGACCAAAACAGTTATTTACTTTAAATTAAATTACACAAACACCATTTAGAAAAGAACAAATAACAGTTTTGGTTCCCAAGTATAGGTGATTTCTTCAATTTTGGTCCAAAAAGATTTGAGGCTTTTGTAAAGTGTTGGAGAGTAAAATGATTATATACTTATTGCAAAATAAAACATTGTAAGAGCAAAATTGTCAGGGACCAAAAATGTATTTTAGTCTATAATAATAATAATAATAATAATAATAATAATAGAAGAAAATTTTACCAGTGTAGAGTGAGTGGGATTTTGCAAGTGTTGAGGGTGTCGCCCCTGTGCTTGCAGTTGCATCTGATTCTGAAACTGTGGAATCTGAGTTTGCTGATGTGGCACACCTTGAGTGAGAGTTTGCATTTGCTGATGTCCTTGACTGTGTGAAAGACTTGGAGTTTGCTGATGTGGAACACCACCTTGACTGTGTGAAAGACTCTGAGTTTGCTGCTGTTGTTGTTGCTGTTGTTCTTGAGGCTTCTGTTGTTGTTCAAACAAAGCCAGTTCCTCTGGTTTCTCCCACTGTATGTATTTCAACATATCAATCAATTTTAAAAAAATAAAAAATAAAAGTTACCTTGCTTTCGCCAGTTGTACTATTGTAGTAGTACTTATATCCATCAGGCGATGTGTGCTCAGTCCAGTTACATTTCAAGGATGACATGTGCGGAGCTGAATTAGGTTGTTGCAATCTAGCAGCAGGAGGAGGAGCAGGTTGAAGATTCTGCTGAGGTGTGATAAGTTGCAGTTGCTGTTGAAGCTGTGAGAAGGCTTGTTGAGACGACTGGTAACTCGCCTGTAAAGTTTGTTTTTGCTGAGTCAGCATCTGAGCGAGGGGTGAAGCTGACTGGTGGACAGGTGGCACCTGATACTGATTATGGGGTAACATTGTGTTGAAATGACCACTGGAATTGGGTACTACTTGTTGTTGTTGTTGACCAATTGGTCTCATGGTGTTGGATGATGGAGGCTGTGGTGATTGATTTGATGGCTTTTTTAAAGGCGATGATGAAAGTTGCAACACTTTTGCATCACCAGATCTAGCTGCTGCCATTTGGTTGTTCAAACCACCAACATCACCACCAGGATGCCATGCGTTACCATGCATTGCTGCCTCCCCAGGATTCGCTGGTCTGAAAAAATAAAATTACATTTTTGATCCACAGAATATAGCTGATTTTTGCACCTTTGTTCCAAGGAAAATGACTATTTTGGTCCCCAAGAATAGTGATATAAAAAAACGACCAAATTTGCGAAGGAAAACTCTTTGGGACCAAAATTGAAAGAAAAGGTTATCCTCAAGGACCAAAAATGTAAATTATATATACAAAAAGTATATGGGATGGGAATGGATACGGATACCTAATTCCTGGGGGCTGCATCCGAGGACCAAACCCGGGGCCACCAAATGAAGGAGTTCCCCTGGAAAAAGAAAAGAAAACTATATAAATTATATTAATAAAATATTTATACGTATAATAAATAAAAAAGAAAGAACCTTGTTTCCCCAGGTCTAGGTCTTTTAGGGTCCGCAAATCGAACAATTAATGGCTGTTCACAACCCTGATTTAAAAAAAAAAAATTAAAAAGGTAAAATGATGAAATTCTAGAGACAAAATTTGAAACATAAAATTGCTTACTCTCATTGTGTAAATTCCATTCAGAGCATTAATAGCTGCCATTGCCACATCTCTATTTGAGTATTTAACAAATCCACATCCTACACAAAATATTGATATCATATGAAGACATATTACAGAAAAAACTTAAAAAATAATAATAATAATAATAATAATAATAATAATGACACGAGGACAAACCACGACTCTGTTTCATTTCATCGCGCATGAGATAGACATCTTCAACACGACCATAAGGCAAAAAAATCTGAATATTAATTTTTTCACATTATTTTCATGTATATAGATAAATAGATAAGGAAATAAGAAAGTAAATATTTATGAATATGTGACGACTTACTTGTTCAACTTCTTTCTCTGTTGCTTGTTTATTTAATGAGCCAACAAACAATTTGAACTCCACTGCACCTAACACAAAAGAACACAACATCAGATCAGGATCAAATCCAAAAGGAAAACAAAACCACATGTATATAAATATAAATATAAATTTAGATGAGCAAAAGTTGAAAGAGTAAATTACCTAAACGTTCACGCTCCCCATCAGCATATCTGACCTGGATGGGACCCATTCCCTGTAAAAAAAAAAAATTACATTTCACACTTGAGTAGACTTCACCAATTTATTATAATAAAAAAAACACACTAACCCCTGGCAATGTGTACTGATTGTGTAAGGCACGTATTGCCCTGTCAGCATCTTCTGATGTGGCATATTTAATAAAGCAACATCCTGCAGAGGCGAACACCGTTTGTCCTGGTATATTAACAACACTACAATCAACCATTCAACTAGAAAACATAATAAAACAATTGGGATTATGTGCTATTGAATTTGAATCAATCAATTATACCATCATTCAATCTCCCATCCCATCTACTCTACAAAAACAACCACAACCATTAAAAAAAAAATAAAACACCTACATCCATTATTTTGCAATATCTCACAACGACAAAAAGTAAAAAAGCAACTACATAATGATGCAAATGGAGCAAAATGTACATTCAGTCTCTCAAAAGCTCATCAACAACCATCATAAAGTTCCTAGATTTGTGAGGTTTAACCAATCAAAGACATCACTACTCATTCACATTCTACTTGAATCAAATACAAAAAGATACAACTATTGGAAAACCATCGCATATTATCACAACACCACAACTTAAACTACATACATAAAGAAAGAATATGCACATCCAACATTTATCAAATAAATCAAACATTTGGTATAGCTAAAAGAAACATTTCCAATTATACAATGTCATCAATGATACAACTAAACCAAACATGCACTATAGGTTAAAAGAATGCCAACTAAAATCATACACAAAGCAACCAAATAGAATCATCAAGTTACCACAAAACTGCAATAGTAAAAGATCCATTGTATGGAAAACTACAACATATCCCCCAATGACAGAAACATTCAGCAATTCTAAAGAATTAAATAGCAACCATTAAAGACAATCAATCTAGTGTCCCTGAATAACTCAACCAATGAAATCAAACAAGATTCTTGAGCCCAAAAAGTAACTGATAACTGATAAGTTAAGAAATTCACTCACAATGTACCTACAAGGCCTAAATATTCCAAAGACGATTTCAAAACACAAACAATACACTATAGTCTATAGTCTATAGCCTATAGCAACCACATAATTCCAACCACAAAACTAGATGTTAGTAGCAACTATCAACCCATCCATGCAACCACCATATTTCCAATATCACAACTAAATTATACTAACAAGCATTCATAGATTAGTTTTTCAGGGTCTAAACGCCAAAAAGAAGTAGAAATCCTCAAAAGTTACAATGCTGCAATCTACCCACATGCTACAAATAACCTAGTTGTCTGTCAGTATCTCAACACTATTAGCTAAGCTTTTTAGGTACCAAAACTTCATCTAAAAAGAAGCTTGCAATGTTTATATGACACATTATTCTGCCCCCAAAGCAACATCTTCCATGAACCAACTGTTATAGTTACTGATATTTAATGGTTTAGTTTTATCTTCTTCTTCTTCTTAGACAGATATGATCTTGCAAACCATAATAAGAGGCCTGAAGATTGCCAAAACAACTAACTGGGATTCTGGGGAAGAAACATAACTTTACATTTGCTTCCCTTCAGCCCCTCAAAGGACCTGAAAAGAGATATCGACACATATCAAATTACAGAAAGCATCTATGTAATTGCACATACCTTGTTGTTGCCCTGTTCTCTTGTCTTTAATCAATGCAACCTCAACAACATTTCCATGTTCTTCAAAAACAGGTCGGATCTGAGATCATATATAGAATTCATTAACATTATAGGAAAGTTAGTCACCATGCAAACAGAAGGCAACAGCAGGCTAATCAGCCTATCAGGATAGATGGAATTGCCACAACTTTATAGAAAACTAGAAAAAACTTCAGTCCACAACACTTAGGTAGAAGTAACAAAAAAATGCCATTTCACAAGTTGGGAACTTACATCTTCTTCTGTTGCAGTCTTGGGAACAGAACCAACAAAAAGCTTGGCGAAACTGCCTCCTTCAGCAGGTTTTTTGTCAAAATTGCCTCCATCAACATTTCTTTTATCAAAATTATCTCCATCGAAGTTCCTTTTCTCAAAATTGCCTCCGTCAAATCGATCTATAAAGAATAACAATGCAATATAAGCTGGACAATGTTTGATACTCCTTCACATGAAGGTCAAAATAATAACTTTAACATGCAAAATCAACGAACAAATAGTAAATTTAAGCAAGCTACCTGGGGAAGGCCCTCCTCGGCCAGGAAAAGGAAATTGACGTTTCTGGCCCGACATAGGCACCTCGTAATCAGGATTAAACCTTTTCTGCCCAGAAAGAGGTACCTCGAACTCTGAAGAAGGATTGTTGTAACTCCTAGCACCACGCACACCTAAAGGCCGGAAACCACCGTCGCCATCCATCGGGTGAAAACCTCCCCCGCCGCCACCACCACCACCACCACCGCTAAGAGAATAACGAGGTGGACTGTTATCAAAAGGACGACGATTTCCAGAGAAACCTCCGTGGTGACGATTCATTGGAATATCATCTGAAGATCGTGACGGTGGTGGACCTCCACCGCCTCCACCTCTAGGGTGTCTGTAAGGATGTGAGTCGTTAGGACTATTCCCGTACCTGTCTCCTCCTCCTCCTCTATGTCTGTCCATGAACGAATGAAGCTTCTCCAGAAATTATTTCAAGAGATAATAGAAACCCTAACCCTAGATTTTTGAGATTTTGCGATAAAGATTATGAAATTAATTTTGGGATTGGAAATTAAACTTCAGTAGCGGAGAGCCGGCGACCATGATTTATTGGTCATGTTTGTATATATAACTCCTCGAGGTACTGTTGTTTCCATTTTTTTACCCCCTGACATGAGTTTTGCTATTTCTTGTCTCCCTGCATCTTTGTTTGATAATATTTTGAGTAGATTAAACACATAGTCATGTGTGGTTAAGGGTAATCTACACGTTTAATCTTTAACTTTTTTTTAACTAGGGCCGGTCTCTCATATATTTTTTTGTTATGTATTTGGTCATTTCCATACATAAAAAGATGATTTTGCCCTTATTATATTTATTATTTTTAAATTTTTAAAAAGTAAAATAAATAATAAAAAAAACACCCCATCCCCTTTTTATCCCCACCCACGTCTTTGGTCCTGCCTTACATCTTTTCTCTGATGACCAGCTTCTCTGATGACCAGTACCATTTTTCCGGCAAGAGAACCTACCCCAACGGCGACTAGGTGAGCTTTCTTCCTATCGTCCTCTCTTCTCTAATCTCCCTTTGAGAACCCCAAATGACAACCTCTCGTCGCCACCCACTACCCTGCATCGCTCTAAATTTCCGATGTCTATCACTATTCATCGCTTCCCTGAATATCCGGTGTCTGAATCCTTACGATGATACCTTCTAACCTGAAGTGAACTCAACGATCATCCACTATGACTACCACACAAGAACGCACAAGAATCTACAAAGTAAACAAGAAAGATAATGAAGATGAGAGGTTTAACCCACAATATGAATCCAAAATTTCTGAACCCACAAAGTATAGCCATTTGAACCCAGAAAACTTGCAACTTAACAAAACCATAATTTGAAACCAGAAATGATGAAGATAAGAGGGTTAATCTGCAACTTGTTACTAGATTTTACTAGTTTAGGTCACCAGGGTCAGAGAGGGAAAATTTATAACAAAAATCCAGTTAAATCTGAGATTCAAAAACCCAAATACAAACCCTTACAAACGAAAATGTGACTGAGGACAAATATAGAAGTAGTCAAACCTTTAATCAGGCTTAACCTATCAAACCTACAACTTCTGGTGAGGGATCCAAATTGTAACAACCCGAAATTTCTATTCTGTACAACATTTCAATTCAATAGAAGTCAGAACAGTTTCTGCTAACTTTCAAACTTTTTGGGATAAGTTTTAGTGTTTTTAAGTTAGTACTTCAGGAGATACCAGAAGAGAGGATGATCTAGGGTTTATTGTGCAACAATAAAGTCCCAAAGCTCCAAGAGTTTGGAGTTTACGGCCTAAACAAAGGTGTTTACGGCCGTAAACCCTAAATTGGGGGTATATATATGACACTTAGTCATTATTTACCATTTTTCACAAATTCAAGATCCAAACTCAATTCTCTCTCAAGTATCATCCAACAATTCTTCAAGATCTTCAACTTGTAAGTGTTTCTAGCCCTAATAAGTTGATATATTACTTAATCTAGTGATTTAACACACTTCCATCCGTGAAATCATTCCAAAAGGTTAGATCTTCAAGTTTCACCAAGAACACCAAGAACACACACTAGTGTTCTTGGACTTTTAGCACCTTTTCAAGCCTCTATCTTGTAAGTACTTCTATCCCAGAGTATAATAAGGCTTGTTACACTTCTTTACATCAAGAAAACACCAAGAAAACCAAGGATAAAAGGTGTTTACGGTCCAAGAACACCTTGGACCGTAAACCCTAAAAAGGGTGCCAAAGTGTGCCCTAGTCCCTTCTAAGCCTTGGAAACTAGCATAGATCCTTTCCTTGATGAGCTTAGCACTTGAAAACATCAAAATACCATAAACCATTTGGGTTTACGGCCGTAAACCCAAAGGCAAATGGTTCAAGGATCGTAAACTCCATTTAGGAGTGAAATGGTGCCCTAATCACTTCCATAGGCTTATACTTCAAGTGGAAATGATTCTAAGGACTTATAGAGCTTCGAAACAACACATGGTCAAAGAAGCATGAGTTTACGGCCGTAAACTCATGGGTTTACGACCGTAAACTCAATGAGTTATGGTCATAAAACCGTAAACTCAAATAAGGGGTTCCCTTGAACCCTAAGCTCAATAGCAATGTCCTACAACGCTTAGATGCAATCCTTAGCACTTATAACACTTATATAAGGTGTTTTTCATGCCCTATGATGTCTTAACTTTATCAATTAGTTGTTTAAAGACTAATTGGATACATATATGTGTTATTATATGTTAACTAGGATCATTGTGTGTGTACAAGCCTTCACTTGACACCTAGCAATCCTATATCATCAGTTCATCCAAACCACTCACTACAGGTGAGTTCATACCCCCTTAATTAACCTTTTAAATGTTTTTAAATGCTTTTATGGGGGGAATACAAGTTGAACTATTATAGTTATTATATCAATCACATGTGATTAATAACTACCAAACAAGTGGATTTCTTACTTTTCAAACTGTGTTATCAAACTGTTTTACTTCAAACTGTTTTACAAACTCTTTTACATATCAAATACTTTTATTAAACTCTTTTAACTTATATTATGTGTATCTATATGGATATAATTATATAAGTAGGATTGAAAGGACTTAGGACTGATAGCTCACCTTACTTCATGTTCCTTGTTTGGTTGTGGACTTAGGGTATTCGGGTTATTTGTCCGAAGGTCGTTTGAATCCTAGTTATATATCATGTATATGTGTTTAGATATAAAAGGTTACTTCTTTCATTCAGTTCAATGCCTTTGGGTAGCAAAGGTATACAAACATGCTCATATACACAAACAACATTACTAGTAAACTATAATAGGTATAGTTTAGGAAGATACTATTACTAGAACAATGAAACATACAATGAGTCAGTTCATTCATGAGTAATACATAGTGATGAGAAACAAACATAATACATAGTGATGAGAAACAAACATAATACATAGTGATGAGAAACAAACATAATACACAGTGATGAGAAACAAAACATACAGGCTAGACAGAGAAAGAACACACAATACAGCTAGCACATACATATACATATACATATACATTACATACAGTTATGTGAGCCACTTAACGGGGGACATGGCACTACCTGTCATGACCCGTTTTGTATCCAGAATCTCCTTAATTGGGGAGCGTATGAGTTTGTGTATAGATCTATACTGGATTGACTATCCTACACCTTGCTGCTCGCTACAGTGGGACTTGCAAGTCTACAGGTGCCAAACGTCATTTCTTACGACGTCTTACATCGTCGTTTTACTATAGAGTCGGTAGCAGGATACAGGCCGATCACATGGTACTTTAAATAACAAATAGTTTAAAGAAATTAGTACAGCAGTAGTTACTTAATACAACACTACAGTACCAATTCATTTTCCCTTTACATTTACTTTGTGATATTCACACAATAAACAATAATGTAGAAACTATATTTTTGGTTAATGATAGTCAGATTTGGGGAAAATACACACTCTTACAAGAGACACACACACAGAGATACTAGATGCCTTGGTAGAATGCTACTTTTAGTAGGAAACATAGGGTTTTCTAGGAGAGTTCAAACAATTACAAACTTATACAAAACTTATACATTACAGACTTACAAAACACTTTCATACAAACACAGACACTAATATACTTATGATCTCACCAGCTTTAAAGCTGATAAACTCTTTCAAAATAACTTGTATTCTCAGGTCACCAGTAGACAGGTACCGGTGCCAGGTTCTGAGAAGATGGAGCTCGTTCAAGACTCATCTTTTATTTTGATGTATACTTTTGGTGTCTATATAACTTGATAGAACACACTTGTATGAAATTATATTATTAATGCAATGGATGATGTTGTTGCTTGTTTACTACTTTGCATTGTTGTGATACTGAACATGACGTCCTCCACCCCCGAACGTTTCCGCCGTTCCGGTTTTGGGGTGTGACAGATTGGTATCAGAGCATTGTTTATAGTGAATCGAGTGTATCAACCCATAAAAGATATACGAACTATAAACACAGTGGGATTAAAATACTCTGATAAAGAGTTTATACTTTTAAATAATAAAATATTTAACCAAATATACATACCTGCATTCATACTAAAATCAGTGTCACTAGAACAGAACAAAAGTATTACGATTGTTGGACAACACAAGTAGACTTAGAGACATATGGTCAACCCTGGGAAGATGTAGCCTGATCAACTACATTATCCGAGGAGTGATTAGCATGTGCCTAAGTATGGTTGTGAGGTTGCAACAAGTCTAAAAACTTACCAACACTACTACAACGAGAACAGTAGAACAGAACATAAACTTAAAATACTATAGGAGTATTTTGTGTGACTATTAATTACTTATCTGAAAACTAAAAAGGTCTTTATTGGTATGTCAATAGTTGCAGGGTGGATACATTAAGGTTATAGGTAACTAGGATGGCATAGACTTAGAATCTGTGATATTTGCTCTACTTCCTGTTCCTTGTTTGGTTGTGGGCTTAGAGTTAGGGTCACTTATTCGAAGGTCTATCATGTCTAGGTTACCTATGACTGGTATGCACTACGCAAATGTTGGAGTAACTGATAAAGATCATCTTATAATTATCTAGTTAGTTCGTCTATTAATTATTTCCTTATCCCTTTTCTCGCGTAGATATAATGGCTGGATTCCATCTTCCCGGAGACCCGTACTATCCCAACAACGGCAATGAAGGATGGCTGGGAGAAGAGCCAGAAGATGATCACCCAATCCCTCTGGATGATCACGAAGCTGAAGGCTTTTCTGATGGTTTTGACTCAGAGCCTGAAGTCAACAACCTACCCCCAGCTGCTCAAGACCCAAACCTGAACCCTCGTCCAACATTTCAAGGACCCACTCCTCATATATATATATATATATATATATATATATATATATATATATATATATATATATATATATATATATATATATATATATATGAGGAAACATGCAAGTTTCGTTAAGGATGCATAAATCAAACTTGGATCTATAATTGTGCTTTATTCCTAAACCAAAATCAAAGAATCTTGGAATTTGGAGAAGCCCATATTGATGGTGGGAACAATAATGCACATTGTCAATGGTGGAAT